AGGGGCAGTGAAGGTCGGAAACCGGGAAAACAGACTCCACGCTCGGAATCGGGAAAAGGAAATGCATCAGTGGGCGGGGAGGGGCGCGGGGGGCGCGCCCGCCTGTCATTCGGATGGCGGCCTCCGGCAGGCGGCCTACGGGGAGGCGGGTGCCGGCGCCAAGTGCGAGGGTCAGGCAGGCGACACCAGCCGGGGCGGCGGAGGGGACGGGACCCGTGGAGTCCCGAAGCTACCCCAGCCTCCACTCATTGGCCCAGCCTGTTTACTATACTCCGGCGGGGGCTTGTGCAACCCGCCGGAGGGTAGCTGAGGGGCGGAGCGCTCTCTCCGCCCACCTCTGGTTCTTCCAGAGGCTCCGCCTTCTCTTGTTTCCCATTGGCTAGGCGAGACTCCTTTTTTTTTCTTCTCCATTTTGGTCGTCAATTGGATGACATTCATTCGAGCTCCGCCTATCGGGAGGGCGGCCTGGAGTTTTAAGTTGCTAGGATTTTTTTTTTTTCCCGTGAAGGGCGGAGGAAGGATGCCAGCGACATACGTGCGGCGTAAGGTCCCGCCCCTATTTCTGATTGGTGAAATGGATAGCTCCGCCCATGGCGGAGCCCCGGGGAGGAGAAAAGTCAACCTCCCTTCCCTGCCCCCTCCCTTGGCTCGTGTGCGCGCTTCGCACATGTATGGGGCCCGCCTCGCTCTATTGAACTGCCCTCCCGCCCGGAAGTCCAGAACTCGGCGCCCTTGGCGGGGGATGGGGGGGTGGGGTGTTAATGCTGAGCGCCGAAGGCACACAAAGATCCTTCCAAGGATCGAAATCTGATAGCCTTCCGGGTGCAACTAGGAGATGGGTAACCATGTAGCGTGGATATTGGGGGCGTAACTCGCGGGGTTCTGCTGCAGTGGAGGATGAGATATGCCCTTCTCGGCTGGAAGATTACTGTTCTACCTGGTTATTCTCTTCCGGGAGATTGCCTTCAGCTTAAGCTAGATATCACTACAGACGCTGGCAGTGTATTTACGAGGGAAGGCAGCCAGCGTCCTTAGGATTGGCCTGGGAGCAGAGGCAGCCAGGGGTAGTGCGCTTTGGCTGCGACTTGGAGTGGTCCAGGTCGCATACAGCCTATGAAGGGGGACAGCCCAGGACTAAAGGCATCTTTCCTATCCCACCAAAATGCTGTTTCTTCTTAACCTCCGACAGTTTGGGCCGCTTTTGTCCCACTTAATTTTAGAGCTCCGTCCAAGGGCAAAAGCGAAGCTCCCAGCGAGACAGCTCCTGCTCCCACCTGTCGGTTACTCGTGGAGTTCACAATTTGCTGCCACGGTCCTCGCGGCTCTGAGCCATCCTTGGAGTCAGGCCCACCTGTTGCCAGCGCTCCTTTGCTGGGCTGCGGAGGGAGGACGGGGTAGGAGATGTAGGAGCAGATTCTCTGTGGTTTGCCACTTCGTAACTCCTCACGGTGGAGTGCAGCCTTTTTGCTGGAGTGAGCGGGAAGTGTCCCGTCCCGCCCCCTTTTCTGGAGCTCTGAGAGGGCCCCCAAAACCAAGGCCAACGTCTATCCTGCGCCCAGTTTGGGGAACAAATAAAGCAGCCTAGTTGTCGAAAGCGCTGTGTTGGAGGCATTATTACCCATGCGCACTAGAAGGGCAAGAGATATTAACCCTCATTAGTCAAGGTAGAAGAAAACAATTCTTAGTCGTTTGCCTCCAGTTAGATATACCCAAGGTTCATTTCTACCCTGGTCCGTTTGATGTTTTCCTCCTTTTCTGCAGTTCTAACCCGGAGATCGCGAGGGTCTTACTCCACGCTCCGCCTTCTGGAGGCTTGCTAAGGGCGGCAGCTGTGCTGAGACTGCTTTTCTTTCGGTTATATCCTTCCTTATAGGACTGCATCCTCGGGGGCGGGCTGGCAACCCAATGGGCTCTTTTCTGTCTTAAGTTTCCAACCCTTGATTTTGTACCGGCTGAAGGGAGCTGCCGGCTGTGCCCCGGATATACACTGGAATTTGTGTTTTCTAGATGGTAGCGTGCGGAAATAATAATGTAAAGAGAACTGGGTGGAGAGGGTGAGGTGCTCTTTTTCTCGTGTTTTGGTAAGGGGGTCGTCCAGGGTGGTAATGTGTTGCCTTTCCGCGCCATCTCACGTCGCGGGCCCTGGAACTCTTTGAGCTTGTCTCTAGTGTAAACATTCCACAAAAGGACTGCTAAGGTTCAGCCTCCCCGCGCAGGGCGGAGTCAGTCCTTTTCTAGACGGGCTTCTTGACCAATGATTGCTCCTACCCGCGCCGAGCTGTCGAATCCAAGGATTGGGGGCGGAGCCTGGCCCGGCAGTGGGGTAGGAGGGGCCTATTCACTTACGGACATTTTACCCCACTTCGGTTACTTACCTTACTGAGGCGGTGGGAGAGCCCGGGTAGCCGCCTTCCTCTACGAAGACCGACGGAGGCGGGAGCAGACTTGTAGGGCCTGTGAGGGAGCTAGTATGGGGCGGGATATATAGTGTCCTCCAATGAGACATGAAGAGCCTCCCTGTTTTCTCCAATAGCGTTGCGGCTTGAGGGTGGGATTCAGCCATCCCTCTCCAATAGGCGGGGTTGAGTTAGGGAAGCTCCCCGCCAATAGGGGCGTGGAGAAGGTGAGCGGCTCCCCCCTCCCTTTCTAGCCAAGGGGGAAGGGGCGGGCAGTCAGCAGACGGAGAGTAGTTATTGGCGAAATATTTGATGGGCGGATAATGCATCCAATGGTGGAACGAAATAGAGTCTTCCCCTCTGTGGGGCGGGACTAGGGAGTGGGCGGGATTTCCCGGGTAACAGAGAAGCGGCCGCGGCGGTAGAGGCGGCGGAGACGGTTTCTCCATCTTCCCCCCCTCCCCTTTCCCCCTTGGAGTTTCCCTCCCTCCCTCCCTCCCTCCCTTCTCCCCAGGCTGGGCACCGGGGCTTGTGGACGCCTGGCTAGTGAAGAGGAGGCTGCCAGCCCGCTTCGGCGGGCCTGCGCCCACTGCTGTTCTCAGGGCCTCCTAGCTGAGCCCGAGGTTCACGCCGAGAGGGACACGCAGTGACTTGCGACTGAGGCAGCTTTGCGGTGAGAGCACGCCGGGTCGGGGCGGAGATCCCGGGTGGCGGGTAACGCCGGACTCGAGGGTGTGTGTTTTTAGGGGGGGCTGACCTCCCGGCTTCCCGTAGAGAAGGCGGGCGGGAGGTGTGTGG